TCACGTTTCCAAGTGACGTTACGAGCCAAGTCTACAGAGAAAGTTGCAAACCCCGAGCCAGCAAGGACCCTAGATTGTGTCGTAGACGTAGCCGACAGAAGTATGACTGTGTTCTGTAGCAAAGCCGAAATGCGATGAACCATAGTGCTATTAGCTGTTGACAGCGTCGAAGCATGAGCTTCGAGAAGTAGTTCTTGTGCTTGTTTCAATGCTTCAGCGAACGCAGGAACACTGGTTTCCTTGGAGTTCTTTCGCTCTGCGGATCCTGCGCGTCCTTTACGTGGAGGCGTCTGGCCCTGAGAAGCCTTCATCTTGTCAGAAGCAGCAATAGCAGGGAACGAAATGGTCGAGTCTTGGATGACAGAGAATACAGGGTCGTGAATCATCTGCTCTGTGCTATGACCGATAAGAGAGATTGCAGTCACTACTTGTTCCTGGGATAGAGTCCCGAAGAGCTTTGGCAATTCTCTGGCATCCTCCAAAATTGATAAAGCAGAAGCCCAATCCTTCTGACTGATGAAACCTAAAGCCCGTGATAGGATGACCGATGCCATGAGAGAAGCCTGGTATGCGTCTTTTGGTAGCTTTAGCACCTCTGCAGCAGATGGCTGAACCTTGACAACGACCTCCCGCTTTCGGGTTCGTGGTGCAGGATTTGCAGCAGTCTTAGCCCTTGTGGTCCTTGTCGCAGTTCGAGTAGCGCGTGTAGAAGCTGTTGCCCGTGCTTTGGCAGCAACCGGAGCGGTTTTCTTCACCTCATTCTGGATGCTCAGCACCTTTCCATGATCGCCAAGGCGTTGCGCAGTCTCCTCGGCAAGCTGAAGTAGTTCGCAAGCTTTGTTTTCGTCGCCGCTATCGCGAAACAAGCCGCCAAGTTGGCAAGCAACCTGTACCCGAGAAGCTGAGATGTCGTCCGGTAACTGGTTGAACGCCTCATTGCCGAAATCGAGTGCCTTGGTTAGCTTTCCAGCTCGGTGGTAGACGGAACCTGTCCAAGCAAGTACCTGTGCGCGATAGAGTGGTGAGCCTGTGCTTTCAGCAACCTTTTGGGCCGACTCTGCGTAGTAAATGGTCTCCTGGTACATGCCAAGATGTGCATAGACAGAAGAAACATGCAGGAGACCTCGCAGAAGGGGGAAAGCAAGTGCCCAGAATCGAGGACCGATCACCTGGCCAAGCTTGGCATCAGCCGTGACACTATCAAGACTAGCTGTTGAGACGTTCATAGCGCCAGTGCCGGCTGCTCGGGATGCTGTCGCCTCGATCTTGGACCAATCGTGTGAAAGAATCCGAACGCTTGATTTCACGCAGGTAAGCGCGTCTTGTATCCGACCACGCTTTAACGCGAGAACTGAGTCTAGGAACGAGCTGAGGGCTAAAGATATGTTGGCTTGTGATTTTGACAATGCCCACGATGTAACAGATCCATCGTAGATTGCCTTTGCAGCCGCTAATGATGAATCGCTGGAAATGAGTTAGAATAGTTCCATTTTCCGAGTGTTATGCACTCACGCTTCATCGATGTTGCCGATGCCAGAGTAATACTCAGCTTGTGTCAGATGAAACCCAGCAATCAGGCCACGAGAGACACCGTCGGCTTGGTCCAAAAGCTTCTTTATCTCATCGAGTGTTTGTTTTGCCTCAAAGAAGTGACCGATATTGAGATGCTGTGATGCTAGAAGTGTATGATTAATGATGATATTGTTATAGGTCGGTTCGGCCAGAATCTTGGACAGAGGTGTTGACAGCTCTAAGATCTCGAGCTGCAGACTGTTCTCACCCCGAAGGTTGGCGAAGTGGCTGGCAGATTGCAGGTGTGTCAGAAGACAATCAGGATTGTCGATTCGCTCACAGACATCGTTTCTCGATATGCATGATTCAGTCATCGATTTCCAAGAGACAACGGCTTCCCTCAGGGCAAACACTGGGAAAGGAGCGCTGGTGACAGCCAATGCAGACATTGACTTATGTAATGTCCTGAGATGCGGAAGATAGCGAAGCAGAGAACCGTCATCGCCGTAGTCTTTGCTGTCCAGTTGTTGAATTGTTTCCCCAGCTAAGTTGGAAATTTGCTCCATTTCGTTCTCTTCTCCAATGGACTGGAAGAGCAGCTGGAGTAGAACTCGAAGGCGGCGAATAGGGAAGCGCTCGGCTGTGTAGATTCGCAGAAGAGCTTGAACTGATGGGTCGTATAGTTTGAGTCGCTCTGCCCTAGCTGCTGCGTCTCCCACGATTTGCATCAGGTGTTCGAGGACTGCAGCTCGCTCACCCTCCGGCAGAAAGAATGCCCAGTCGTTCCATGACTGGTCAAGCTTAGCAATTGAACGTAGTGTTCTTGACAATATCTCTGCCTTTTCATCAGCACTCCAAGCAATGCTCGGAGGCTGAGAATCCAGCGCTGTAGTAACTTTGACTAAGGCACCCTCCTCAATCATGTTGGTACAGATTGATCGGAGGGTTCTTATTGCATCCTCACTTCGGTTTGCAGCCTTGCAGAGATCGGCAAACAACTCCAGCTTGGTTGACATATGAGCCTTCTCCTGTTGCGCCATGGGCCGATCCTGAATAATCTCAATGGATCTGCTCAAACACTGAAGAATCTCCTTATTGACCTGTTTGGACTTGCCAAGGTCCTTGCGTATTTGATTGTACCTGGCAAAATACAGACTGGATATTTTCGCAAAATAGCCACTGAGCTGCTCTGTTCGTATCCTTGAAACCGTGGGATCGAGAACAGCAGCAATCAGTTTGTTGCAGTCCCAGAGAACCTCATCCATATGCTGCCAAGTAATAGAGTCAGCCTGGATATCGCCGTTAATGACAACTAACGCGCCATCGATGATCTGATTGATGGACTGCATCAAAACCTCTCGTCGTTGGTCGAACTGGAGGATGGATTTGGCTGAAGCGTCTCTGCCGGGGGAAGCGCCTAGCCAACGGCGGCCGAACCGCGGAAATTTGGTAATGAATGTCTTCAGATGCTCCCGGATTAAATTTAGGGTGTCATCTCTTACTTCCGGACCATTGGAGTTGCTAACAAGGAACCCAACGGCTGACCGTCGAGCGAGTGACAGACTCTCTAGCAGTTCATTAAGGTCGGTGATGTTTCCACTCAAACTCCCTTCGAGGCTCTCTGTAACCTCTTGAACCAGCTGTTGTGTCTTGGTATCATGCTTGGATTGTTTCAAGAGTGTAGCGAGAAGGCGGGCTGAAGTCGAAAACGTGCGAATAGTCGATTCCCCGTCAGGTTCTAGCATGTCCTTCAGTTTCTGGAACCAGTGGCATGCTGCATCATTTTGGCGGTCCGTTTGAGCTGCGATACCAAGCAGTTGGTAAATGGAATTTAGGGGAGAGTCGAATGAAGCCTTGACTTGGGACTTTTGCAGCCCAGCTAGATCCGTGAGCGCGTTGAAGGATGCAGCAATCAAATCGTATGTTGGTCCATTCGTGGGTGGTTGTCGTCGAGTATATGCGCGAACGCATCGAGAAAAAGGCGAAAGAATATCGTCCTCAACGTTCCCACGGTGACCAGCCATTTTCCACCATCTAAGCTGAATCTTGAAACAGAGCACTTGCAGCTTGAAAGCTGAAGTTGGAGACGGACTCAGTCTCAACTCCGTCGCAACTGCGTCTTCCTTGCTAGAGACACTGGGTGCTAGTGAAAGAAGAGTCTGGGATAGTGAGGCGAGTTGGCGGGCTGCTTTTTGGGTCTCCTTCGCGTTCTTGGCCCCCGACCTCACTAAGAGGTTGATGGGGGACGATACATGAGATTCCTCGAGAAGTGGTAGCACGGCCTCGATATGAGCTGGTTTCTTGGAATGCGCAATCCATCGCAGTACTTGAATTTGGGAACCTGTAACAATTGGTAGCAAGCTATCGGGAATCTTATCACCATAGTCGAGCAACTCCAAAATGACTTGAGCAGCGGTTTGTCCTTCGCTAGAGTTCGGTTTCGTTGACTTGTTAACTCCAGCATCGAGCCGTCGCTTTAAGACCCTCAGCTCCTTCAATGCCTGATCTTGAAACCCGAGCGCCAGAAGTTTGCTAATGAATGCTGACATCCCATTCTCGAGTTGGAAATCTGTCTGTGCCGGCTGCATCGGGCCCATAATAGATCGTAGACAGGTGAAAGCCACGCGCGCACACTCGACAGCGGCGAGACATCCTGTAGACTGCGCTGCCGCTTGTATTGCTGCTTTGGCCGCGATGTTTGGCAAGGTAGCTACGCGATTCAAAGTTCGTGGCTGCAGCGGTGATAACGGTGCGGATAGGGATCTCCGCAACGTTCGAGGACCAGAGGTTTTCTTGGAGTCTCCCTGAGCGGCTTGTTGCTTACTCGGAGTCGTAGGAGTCGTAGGCTTCGCAGCTTCATTTAGGGACTTGATGCAAATGTTGATTACATGTGTTGCCAGAGCTGCACGGTCTTTCGATGAAAGCTGCTCGTTGGTAGACTTTGCTGTCTGGGATTTGCCGCCCGCGATTCGTTTTGCCTTCGAGTTTGTCGTCGTCTTAGAGGCCGTTCGCGAATTGGTTTGTGATGCCGTGTATGAAGTCTCGATGTCGGGTAACAGTAGTTCCTTTAGAGTCACGACGGTGGCAGTCGTACATGTTGATGTTGAGGCTAGAGCTGTCTTGGCCGCGTCGGCCTTTACCTGCAGTGAAGCCATTTAGATTATGAGTGTAATTTCGTTACCATGCCGTCGTCGAATACCAAAAGCTCCTAATACGGAGAGAGGTACAGTACAGGTACAATATGCAAGTTGAAAACGAAAAGCTGCAGGTCTCTCTATGTCGCAATTGATAATTAGTTGGCTTTGTTAATCCTGGCGGCCTAGCCCCGGAAATGGGCAAACACAACTGGTTGCCCGGGGCAACTGTCGGTTGCCGGATCGGATGGTCCGTGCTCTCATATTCTCGGTAGAGGATCTTTGAAGTTTCGAGTCTCAATTAAGCCAAGTTCCAGCTAACGACACCAATCATCGAGATTAAAAGATCGCAAAATGTCGCTTCGACAGCTTTCACTTCGCCCTGGTTATATCCGAGTGGCCTCCTTTGTGTTTAGGACGTCGCATACCTCAAGATGCGGCATTCGATACTCAAGCACGGCCCCGGCTACAGTCGTCGATAGGTCATTCTGGCGAAACTTGGTGCCGAAGCCACTGAGAAAGGAAAATCGCCAGTTAAGGAAGAAGTCCAAGGAATGGAATCCCGCGACGTTCTTCATTGCCATATTTCTTCTTATCGGATCCATGTCGATTCAGATGATTACTTTACGAAATTCCTTTGATCGATACATGCGACAGTCAGAGGCTCGGATTGCATCCTTGCGGGAAGTTGTCGAGAAAATCCAACGAGGCGAGCCGGTTGACGTGGAGGCGGCACTTGGAACTGGAGATACTGCAAAGGAAGCTGATTGGGAAGAGAGTATGAGCTGGGCCCAGCCATCAAACTTGCCGGTTACTAACGAATCTTGGCAGTGTTGAAGGCGATTGAACGTGACGAAGCAATTCGCAAGTCGAAACGAGAGAAGCCAGAGCGAAGTGAGCCCGCAAACACAACCTCACCAACCTCATCCCAGAATGCAGAGTCTGTCAAGGCTGCACCGACAAACGCAAAACCCGGAAGTCTTGGCAATTTCATTTAGATGTATTAGTGATACACTGATAATCTACTTTCATGAGAGCATGTCCTTGAAAATATCACGATTACCAAAGGAGGCTTGGAGTGAAGTCTGTGCTGGTGCTCCTGATGGCGCAACATCGTTGCGCAGTGCAGAAAGAAGAGCTGGAAGGAGGTCGTCTGTCGATAGTGCAACTCTCACTCCCTGCTCACCCTCTTGCTTGGGATCCATACCCGCGAAGAACTTATCCTCGCCTCTGATTCCGCCCATGCTGATAATGGCGATGGGCATGCCCCGATCCTGAGCCCGCTTGGCAAGCCTCCAAGCCGAATAAGTGGCAAGAGAGGTACCAACAACGAGAAGCTTTCCCGCATTGTCAATGGCTTCCTCAGCAGCGTGTTTGACATGATTGTCAATGCTTTCTCCGAACATTACTACCGCAGGCTTCAGAATTCCCGCGGTGCTGGGAAGCTTCCATGCACCATCTGTGTCAACCTGGACAACATGTTGACGTCCGTCAGCATTCTTTGGAGGGCTGGATAAGCATTTGGGACAAGAGGGGTATCTAAAGGTTGTATAGGGGGCATCTGGCAGGTCCACATCGCCGTCGGGGTTCACCTTTAGGCCCTTGAACCTGCGCTCAACTGGGTCTTCTGTGTCTAATGCCCCTGACTTGAGGGCCCTCTCAAGCAACTCGGCCCATTTAGGGTTGAGGGTGGACAATTTCTCCTGGAATTCATCTCTGGAGAACTCGTTTTTACAAGTCGTGCAGACAACAGCTCTTAAATATCCATGTAATTCTAAAGCTGGTAGATCAGGATGAGCTCTTGGATGGAAGGAGTCAACATTCTGAGTAATGACACTGCGTATCAGACCAAGACTCGCGAGATCTCTTATAGCATAGTGGCCTTTGTTTGGCGATGCCTTTTGGAGATTAGACCAGCCTAGAAAGCTTCGAGCCCAGTACCGTTTGCGAGATTCGTGACTCTTGAGGAACTCTGGGTAGTAGATAGGCCGATATGTCTTGTTGACCTTGTAAGTGCCCTTGGCGCCCCGGTAATCTGCTAAACCCGAAGCGACTGAAAGGCCTGCACCGGTGAGAACAACAGCGGATGAAGGTAAGTGGCTTGGAGAGGGCGCGACAAAGAAGCGATGGAGGGCGGTAATAGCTCCAGGGAGTGTCGAGGCCGAAGCTGGTGCAATTACTGAAGGCAGGGGGAGGTCCGTGTAAGGGATCCTGAGCAGAGGCTTGCTCATTGGGGCCGCTTTCAGGGTTTTGATATTCAAGAATTAGGAATACTCGATGTGATAAATTCTCAGAGTGAAACTCAAGCCCAATCCCCAGTGGCTGACGAGGCTGTTTCCAATTGCTTGTGGAGGATTGGCTGAAGATGACCAAGTCGCTAACCCTACTGAGGCACTGACTCGAGCTGACCAGTGATGACGGACTGGATACGAAAATTGAAATACAAGGACTGATATTAGACAAGAGGATGGCGTGGCACACAGTCACGAAGATGGTTGTAAATTTGGCTACAGGGATTATTCTTAGAGCCAGTGTATGGAGAAGAGCGCGTCATTGGTGTCAGGGACGATTCTCACTCATCAGCCTTGCAACCGGGCAAGGGTGCATGTGGCATTGTGGCTGAACAGCCCAGACAATGCGTACGGCTGAGGTGGGCGCTTATTACTTGAATCTCCCCCACAACCCGAATCTGATAATGACAAAGAAGATGGTAAACTCGAGTCAGCTTTCAGGGTAGAATTGGTAAAGACAGGCCTCTGAACCATGATCATACTGAATTGCTTCCACGTACCTGGGGTACTGGGTTCCAGTTGTTACTCAATTGCTATACTGTATTGTATAGCCAATGCCTGACGCAAACTTGACCATCCCTGAAAACATATGGCTCAGCGGTCAAGCCCTGCCAGTTGCTGCTGGCTGTGCTATCCGGAGACCGGAACCTCGCGATCACTCATCAGGCGAGAGTGTCGTAGATAGTGGGTTCACCTCGCATCCTATCCTCAATGGCGTCGTAGGTCGGTGTCTTTTCCTGCCAATTGCCGCACCAAGTTTGGATTTTGGTGGAACTAAACTCCCTACTCTGCTTGTTTTATGTCTGATAATCTTGATAATCTTTTTTCTCTCTTCCACTCGCTGTCGGGGAATTCTGTCTCTTCTTCGCATAATTAATTATTGACTCTTCAACTCGCTCATATAGTGAGTGGCCTTCGTCCGCTTCCGACCGAGCCAAATCCGCTCGCTCTATTGAACCCGACTCGAAACTTGAACAGCTCCGTTAACGGGCATATGGCATTGAATAACCCGGCATCAACAAAACACACCATCTTTCTTCTCCCTAACATTCGTCTATAACTTATCTGTCTATATCTGAATCGTGCTTCAGACCCTACGCAACTCCAAGGGAAAACACGCAACACAATAGTGATACCCGGCCCCTTCTCCCACTTTCCCGTGTTATCCGTATTTCCCCTGCAAGACAACATCTCGGATATACTGTATGAGTCTCCCGCAGGCCGGCCGTCCCACGGGCACAGGCACAGGCACAGGCACAGGCACAGGCACAGGCACAGGCGTAGGCGCTGGCGCTGGCGCTGTAGTGACGTCGCCAACAGCTGGGCCCGGAGCTGGAGCCAGAGCCACGCACAGTCACAATCAGAGGAGTCGTGGCTTTGCCTCATGGGGACAGGGACATGGACATGGACATATCAATGGGCACCCTAATGTCCATATTTCACAACAAACCAAATACCGAGGCCAGATGTCCCTTTTAAGATCAAATATCGCAACTCCCCACGTCGCTTGTCTACGTCTTCGCCTACGCGCCCTGCAAAAAGCTTCCATCGTCGCCGCCCTATCGACGTGCGCCTACCTCTCAGCCTCGTCTAAGCTCTCATCCTACCACGTATCAAATACTGCCTCCGTCACTCGCCCTTCGACTAACTCGCTACCACATCTTGCTCCCTTTCGCAACAAACTCCGATCACCACCTTCACTCGTAAAAACTTCAATGTCGCAGATCCGACCGCATACTGGCCAAGGCCACGACCACGACCGCAAAGATGGTCATAATCACAGCCACGGTCATGACCACAGTCATAGCCATGGCATATTGGGCCACCACCACCATCACGACAACGCGTACCTAACCTCAGGCAACAAAGACGACCCCGGCGTCCGAATCACCCGCATTGGCTTGGTCTCTAACCTGGGCATGGCAATTGCCAAATTCGCTGGTGGATGGGCTTTCAACTCCAAAGCAATGACTGCCGACGCATGGCATAGCATCACAGATCTTGCATCCGATATCTTGACGCTCGCGACAGTCACATGGAGTCTCAAGCCACCAACAGACAAATTCCCCATGGGCTTTGGCAAGGTAGAGAGTCTGGGATCACTCGGAGTCTCGAGTATGCTCTTGGCTGGGGGTCTTTACATGGGTTGGGACAGCGGTATCAGTCTCTATGGACACTTTTACCCGGAAGCGGCACATGGTATTCTGGAGCACGTCGGACACGGTCATAGTCATTCTCATGGAGCTGCAGCACTGGGGATCCCGAGTATGCATGCCGCTTGGCTTGCAGCAGGGACAATTCTGATTAAGGAGTGGCTTTACCACGCGAGTAAGTGTTCTCCCAACTCTCAAGGTAGCGGCGCCAGACTGCACGTGTACAACGTAAGCCTTGGGATTGAAAGTATAAGAGCTGACTAGTTGCAGCAATGAAGGTTGCTCGGGAACGTAAATCTTCGGTCCTCGCGTCGAACGCCATTCATCACCGAGTCGACAGTTTAACGGGGTTCGTCACTTTGGCAGCTATCATGGGAGCCAATGCAATGGAGAATGCGGCGTGGCTGGATCCCGTCGGCGGTCTTCTCATCTCCATCATGGTTATCCAGGCTGGTGCCGGAAACACAGTTGCTGCTTTTCGCGAACTGGCAGACCAGGGCATTGATGATGAGATCAAGTCTTCGGTAACAAAACAGGCCAATAAAGCATTGAGGAACGTGGTTGAAGGACACGAAGTTGCTCTAGGCGAAGTGAGCGGTATCAAATCAGGCCAGAATTATCTTGTGGACCTCGAGATGACCGTACCTGGTGCGTGGTCTGTTGACGCAACGCAGCAAGTCGAAGACGCGGTGCGGACTCAAGTCGGAGGGAAAGTACGCGGTGTCAGAAGAGTTCGCATCCGATTCTCACCCAAGGAGGCTGCTGCCAAGGCAAGGTTTGACGACTTTATCCCTGGGACTGTGGTTCTGCCACCAGAGACCGAGGAGGATGCGTCTGAGGCAGAGGGCGAGTCGAACCACAATCATGAGCATCACGAGCATCACGATCACAAGAGCAGTGGTCATGTTCATGAACCCAATGGCTCCCACGAACAAGGCGATGGTCTCAGGAACAGAAACAAGCAATAGAGTGGAGGATGCCCTGTCAGAAGCGAGACTTTAGTCTGGGATCCTGGGGAACGATCACGGCCATGCTGCATCTTGTTCTCGTCGAAGCTGCACTTTGGTACGACAAGTCCAAGCCAACCTTGCCCCTTGACTGGGGTCTAGCTCGGCTTCTTGGGGTCTGAGCTGCGGGCCAGTGGAGCCTGGCCGCTTGAGAGGCCGGCCGTAAGAGGTTCAGACTAGGATCTCTCAATAGCCGGCATCTGTCGACCTGACCGTCGGTGAAGGAAGACCGATGGCATATGCATGTGCATATGCAGTAAAAAGTGCACACCCTTTTCTTTCTCATGACTTGACTATCTTGTTCCGGATCAGGGTCGGAATTGGTATTGAAGCAATTGGTGTAATAGAGCAGACCACAGACATATGTATCGTAAAGAGGAAGAGAAGGTATAAGGAAGTGTGTTTCGCGGGGCACATAACTTGAAAGGTTCAAGAGGGAGGGTCTACACTCATAAAACCAACAACAACTCTTGAGATTTGGACTAGGTAGTGTGTTACACAGACTGTAATGGTGTGTGTACACTATGTACGGATAAAAAATGCAGAT